TGTTGCAGAGTCAGGTGCCCTTATTGTATTAGTTACAGCAGAATGTAATACATAAAATAGACACATCTAAACAGAACTAAGAGCTAGAAATGTGAGTATTTAGAAAATAACGTGATCTGCAAGACAGAAAAGACATTGTGCTTTTTATCTGTAAAGTTGCCAATAAATGGGAAACAATTTTTTATCTGAAGTCACAAAGATGTAACCTTCTTACCCAAAAGAATCAGTTCTATTGGTATCAGCCTTGAACGCTGTGCACCACCAGCAGAGAAAGGCTACACCTCCCTAGCCTGCATTCTTAGCCAAAAAAACAATAGATGGTTCCCCAGTGCCTCCCTGTGTAGAAAATACATAACTGCATGGACAGATCCTTTTACATAAGAGTATGCTGTAGGAAAGTGGTTCCCCAGTGCCTCCCTGTGTAGAAAATACATAACTGCATGGACAGATCCTTTTACATAAGAGTATGCAGTAGGGAAGAGTGTATGGCCTGGTTGACATGCAAAACAGCTACTATCTGTTGCTGCCACACATACAGCACAGTATGGTTCTGCTGTCTTTTTTAACCACAGGTCCTTCATTAGGAGATGCACTGCTAAGGTCTCTACACTGCTGAACAACAAAGAGACATTGAACCTAAAATACTACAATATTCACATGCAATCCCAGTAAAGATGCTAGGAAAGGCCTTAGTTTTAGCAAAGCAATAACGAAAAGTCAAGTAACTTTTGGCAGCGAATCATCCAAAAAGTATTTGTCATCAGTAATTACCCAAAGAGAAGAGTATGTAAACAATGTATTTGATTTACCCAGTAGCAATTGTGGTGCTTGTGTAGATAAGGATTTTGGCTAGCAAGAGTTTGTGTACATAAAAATAGCAACTTTGTGATAGTTGATTTGGAATAGGCCAAAGCCTCACCTTAAATTGTAACAAATATATGCATTTGCTCTTTGAAAGCTTGTACTGTGAATAACAAATTTAAGAATGTATGCGTTCATAATAATGTTGAGAAAATGTTTCAGGGTTTCCATAATCTCTGCATATTTTAATTCCTGCCTATGGTCAGAATTATTAATACAGTTCTCCACTATCTTAATTAGCACATCTCTTCTTGTGAACCTGGTATGTCTGGTTGTACAGGCTAAATATTTCACCAGACACTTGAATAGTTTCACAACTGCTGGAAACGTGTTCTGTCTGTGATCATTGTTAGGGTAAGAAAGGTACCAGTACGTAAGCATGTATTGATGCATGTACAAACAGGTGCCTCCTACGTACTCTTCTCACAAGTTTTCCCTGAACATAAACAGGTAATCTTTTCTCTGCCCAGTTGTATAAAACTATCATTATTTGCTAGTGAGCTGGGTAAGGGATAAAATTGTTATGCTATTAGACTGATTAACAACAATGCACATGACACAGAGTATTTCAGACTATTTATAGTGCAAGGTACACATCTTTTATTATGTGCTGGAACTGATCCCAGGCTGATTCTTCACTAAGTTATTTCTCTGGCAGTAAAGGAGCACTGAGAGTGTTCTCATTTGTACTTGCTTGCATAGGGACTGCTGTCACAAACAATGTTTGCATGAGCTCAGAAGTGTCTGGTATGTGTCTTTTCCTACAGTCCGCTTTCCTTCAGAGCATTTGCAGAGCAGAGACATAATTAACTGCAGCACACCACCGTGAGATCAAATTTATGTAGGAGACCTTCCTGAAAGCAAGAAAGCCACATGTAGATCAGCTATGAACTAGCCCAGAATTCTCTGATCAAGACTAATTGTGCCATTTTCACACTGTCATTAGTAACACCTTTGAACTGAGTTTATTGTAAGACAACTACACCAGTCCTGCAAACACCATCTTGTTTCAACAGCTGGGGAACTAAGGAGTTTAGACTAGGAACTTCCTTCCTTCAGCATTAGCAGGCAAACAAGGTTATTAACATCTGTTTTCAGTGCCTCAGCAGATACATGATACTTGGTGATCATTATTCTACAATCACTTATTAGATAAACATCCAGAGAATCCTTCTGAAGACAAAAATCAGAGGATATTAAAAGTCTTTGTGGTGCAGCTGTTCATGCAAGTTACACAATATGAATTTCCCATGCATCAGCTACTCTAAATGATTAGATATGCTCTTGCTGCATAGAGGGGTGGATGCACTTTTAGCAGATGCTGTTAGCCCAAAGACACCCAGCAACTGTAAGTGAAATTCCAATTCTCAAAATAAATATGCAAAAACTGGAAATATCAATTATAATTTACATTTAGTGCCCCAAACACAGCTGTCTGAAAATGTTGAGTGGTAGTGTAAATTACAGATCATCCACCAGAGGGAAGCTCAAGCATGCATACAAAGAAAAGTAATTTGAAGGATGAATGAGACACCCCCCTAATATTTCAGCCAAAAGAAATTATGTTCTAAGTGTTTCTTTACAGTAGCAAAGACATCTTGGGCTTGGAAATGTTTTCAGAAGATTTGCCAATCTCAAGATAACTGACTTAAAAAGTTTCCCCATATTAATGACTGAATTATTGCACTGCATACAATATGTATGCACACAAAAAACAGATTTTTTTTTATTTTTTTTTTTCACACAGAAATGCAGCCTAATTTCACTTCTGTTGATAGAATTAGACCAGAACTTATGAGGTCCAAAGTCCAACTGCATGTTCATGCATTCAGAGCCCTCCCACATTTGGTCACTAGAATGAGTAAGATACAGAGTTGTTTAGTCACTGTTGTGTGAGTTTAGCATATTCTTTAACATACTACACTGCTCCCCATGCTAATAGAAATGTCTGATAAATCTAAAATTTTCTTAGTAATCCTGCAGTCACATAGAGCTCTTTATAAACATGATGTCCAGCTACTGTTAACTCTAATCCCTGTGATATTAACTCTAATAGCCAGTCTTCACAGTCTTACTCAAGGAATTCTCAGCATTTCAACACTTGTCTGGGATATTTTTTGAAACGAAAATCCTAGGTTGTTGCTGCAATTCCAAGATTCGTTTCCTTCTTTCAGTGAAGCATACAGCCAGAGATGGAGGCCATCAGGCAAGCAAACCTTAACTGAAGAAACATGTTTACAAAAAATGTAAGGACAGATGCTTCAGAAGTTCAATCACACCCATACACCACTTGATTAGAACTATACTAGTACTGATATTAACATCTGTACAGACAACTGCTCTTCGTCACCAAAAGTTTTAAAGAGAAAAATCTTCAAGGGGCATCACCCAAAGCTACAGGAACATGCAGATTCTTTTAGGGATCCTTGGTAGAATTAGGACTGGCCACAGGGTTGTATTTACAGTTAGACCTTTATAATGATGTTAAAAAATAAATTATCAGCATCGCTTATTGTTATCTACAATTTCTAGCAGTTAGTAGAGCTTACAGGTACACCACGCTTTTAGCAGTTATCAGCTTTTGGTTAAGCAAAATTTCTAGTTATCAGTGCAGTTTCTTACTATCTGGAGTCTTTACTTACCTAGGCTTCTAGTCACCTGGGCCCTCTGCAGATCAGGTCAAATTCATAACAGTCATCATGTGATACAATAATCAAAATGTAGATTCAGACTTCACCTTCAAGAACCTGCCTCTACCTTTAGCATCAGGTGACAAGAGATACTGGGCATCTCTCCTGGGCTTTTTGGGTATTTTTTTTTTTTACAATAAAAATCCACAAGATAGTTCAACCCAGACATTCCACTGACAATAAATTAATAAACAACTCTTCCAAAGTTAATCCAGGAGAAATAATGTATAAAGGCAATTTCATTTAGAAGAGACACTGCCCAGCACTTCCTTTCATCAGTTGGTTGGCACAAGTGCTTTTCAGAAATTCCCTTTACAATACTAACGACTGGTTTGAGGTTTTCCCCAACCCAATCTGCATTAAACATAGTTAAAAATAAGAGGAACTGAAATCATGTATCAAGTTAAATCCAAATTAAAATCTTTATTACACAAACAGTATTTTGAAGGTGTAATACTTGATTTCAGTGAAGTTATTCCGGATTTGCTTTTGATCTCATTATACTCTTATGAGATCAAAACCAGCTAAGCTGATTTGGGGGTGGTGGTGTTGCAATCCTTTTTCCATGGTGAAAGATACTTCTCAACTCAGTATCACACAGTACATTTTCCAGGTTTGTAAAATTCTACCTCAGCACTTAGGGAAATAACTTTTATCACAGTCTTAAATTTAAGAGATTTGCATTTAAATGTAAGAACTATGTATATCTCTTTTTTTCTGTGCATCTTTTTTTATGGAAAATACCCTTCCATTTTCACTTCCGTGACTCTTGAATGTTTCAGTCAATGCTGCTGTTTTAGTTCCTCCTTTAACATTTTAGAAATTAACTTAAAATTTATATAAATATTTTTATATTCATTGGCCAAACACTGAAGAGCTTAGGATTCACACCAGATTTGAATGCTGCCCTGGCCACCAAACTTCTTAGGAGATAAAGTCATTGCCCATTTCTGGTGCAGCGGGAGGACAACATAATATAAGCCTATATCTAGAATATTCTGACAGTTATTTTTTGGCTAGAATTTTGAAATTTCACAGAACATTAGAACAGCAAGGGTTTTTTTTTCCCCCCATAGCTGTTGCTTAGGTCAGTAACTTCAACAAAGTATCAAGATTCTTAAAATAGGGACACTTCTGAAGGATCACTGACATGCTTTAAAATCTCAAATAGGGTAGGTTATAACTAAAAGCAAAGTCAGGTGCTACACTGTATTTTTATTTTTGCTTTGTATGCAGAAATGCACACTGTCTGCCTAAACAACAGGAACTGTCCCATGTGGTTAGATGTTTGTAAGAGTGAGCATTAGGATATGAGCTCATATGCTGTGTTAGCCTACAGAGCATCAGTTAGAGAACTTTCTTGAGGAGTTCACCAACACTTTCAGAATAAAAGTGGAGTGCAAAGCACCAAGGACACTGAAAACTGAGGAGAACTGAATAATTTCCAGAATGAGTCAAGCTGAGGACAGCAGTAACTACTCAACCTGGAATATTGTGAGGTCAGTAGTCTGCATAATACTGAGCCTCTCGTTTATTATTGGGACCCCTGGAAATTGCATTGTCATCTGGACTGTCTGTAGAAAAATGAAGCAAGTGTCTCCTTCAGTCCTGCTGATCTTGAACCTCGCCATTGCAGATGTCCTTGTATTGATTACCTTGCCAATTTGGATTTACTCCTTTGCTGACTCATGGGTTTTTGGAGTAATCTTCTGCAAAATCCTGGTTTTCATTATTTACTGCAGCATGTATGCTAGTATATTTCTAATTACAGCACTGAGCTTGGAGCGGTTAATGGCTGTGTTTTACCCTTTGACAATTCAAAGATACAAAACAAAAGAAAGAATTTCTTTAGTCATGCTCCTCATTTGGTTCCTGTCTGTTGCTTTTGGCATTTCTATCATTCCATTTCAAGAGACAGAAGAAATGAACGGTGGACTACTATGCACATGTCGCAACTACTCTTCTAACAGGCAGAAAGTGTCATATCTTTTGCTGGAGACTCTTGCAGGCTTCGTCATCCCTTTTTTAATTATCTGCACTTGTTACATCTGTGTTGCAAGAAGAATAAGCAGAATGACTTACCAATCTAAGCGGCGATCGGAACGGCTCATTGCCAGAATTGTGGTGGCATTCATTTTATGCTGGTTCCCTCATCATCTCTTTAACATCCTAGATATTATTTCAATTCAGATAGAACTCTCTAATAAGGAAATGTCTTTGGCACTGGATGAAATTATAGACAGAGGAGTGTACATCTCTGGAGCACTTGTATTCTTCAGCAGTTGTATTAATCCTCTGCTTTATGCTTTTGCTGCACGAAGATTTCAGAATCACCTGAGATTTGCCAAAATATCAAAGCTGTTTGAGCAGATGAGCCAGACTGTAACAGAGGAGGAGAAGAAAAAAAGTTCAGTTGTAAACAAACAAGATGACACTTTAGTAAGCACCGAAAATCTCTAACAAGGAACACAGACTTAGTGAACAGTGGGATTCTGGATCATTCCTTCAGCAGTTCTTTCTCCTCATACTCAGTTTCATTTACTCAGTTGTCCAGGTAAAACTAGAGACAGGTAAAAGTTGTTAGGGTTTGTTTTTGCGTGTTACAAAAGAATTGGCATTGACAACCTAGTTCAGTTTGTAAGTTAGTATCGACGTCATTAGATTAGTAGTGTTTCACTGGTGCTGGGAACCTCAGCAAGGTAGCTAGAGCTCAAAGTATAGAGCATTTTTACTTTTCCTTACAATTGTTTGTGATTTCTCAAAAGTCTTTCTGCAGAAAACAGAAAAGAAGTGTTGAAAGTTTAAAATTGTGTTTTTCCTCTGGAAAAAAAGATGCTCAAAAATCCTTATGTAATCTAAGGTTTGAAGAGACCGTGTTACATTCCTGATACAAGTAAGACTGCTTTTTAAATATACTGATGACACATAGAACTTTGGGGTAGATGGGAAATATAAAGCTATTTTTATTAATTGCTTTATTTAGATTTAAAAGTAATACAGGTTCTTTTGCATGGTCAAGCACATTTACTGAATTATCTTGTATTAATAGGTTTTAACAAGTAATATGTCAAGTGTGACAAGAGGTGTGAGAATCCTCTGTCATATGACCAACATGGTTACAGACTTCATGCCATATTTGATGTCAAATACATTGCATACTTCAAGGGCAATTAACTATCAATATATTAAATATAGATAGTATGAGCATCCTCAAAAAGTTTGATTCAGTTAAGCTACCAAGATGCCTACTAAATTATGGAGGAATAAGATCAGGCTCTGGTAGGAGAGAAGGAGAGTTCCTTGATACTGTTTTTTATGTGTAATAAAATTATGGTAGCAAAGTGTCTAATATTGTAAGAACTTCACCATGCAAATAAAAGCATTCTTTTTTGCTTTTGTAGCATAGAGTGGACTTTGCCATAAGGAACTGCTAAATTTAGCACTTGCAAAGACCTTATTTTAGTTCTGTGAATGTGTGCAAACTCACTGTGAAGAAACTGCATGCAGAGTTTGCTTTTGAAGTTGTTTTAATTTCAATTGTGCCTAACATTTTTTTATGCTTGTCTTCCTTATTTTTAAGTCAATGATTCGTAGTAAGATCAACAGCTGATTGCTAAGAAATAGGTTTTAATTTCCTGCGCATAGTTCTGGACAGCTGCTAAGTAGTTGTTACTCATCTTTACAAAGAAATGCACATACTTAACTATAACTGGATTTTCAAAATCTGATTATGTAACAACCAAGGATGTTCAAGTTGTATTAATGTAGCTTGTAAACTGAAATAAACACAGGGAAGTAATCCTTAACTGTTAATGGGAGAATATTTCTCTAAACTTTGCATATGTATTTGTTATTCCTGCTTGTTATGAAAAGTTGTTTGTTTGTTTTTCTTCTCAATAGGAGAAAAGTCCACACCACAAAGGGCTTTCTATCAATAGGACTTCCTCACTGAAATTAAAGTAAATAAAACCGTAGCAAGACCTTGTTTGCAGCAAATATCAAGGAGAAGATTTAATTCCTTAGACTTTACCCCATCAACCTATCACTCTTTTTCTACCCCACTGATGGCTTTTTAATTGCTATTAGTATATTCAATACAGCAATGTGGCATTATGCCACAGTAACAGCAGTAAATTTAGGTATCTACAGCATAAAAAGTGAAGCTGTATTTCTCAATACGTTCTTGAAGTAGGAGTTACTCACTATTCAACAACAACAACAAAGAACAGATGAGGAGACAAGCACATGAACTAGAGCTCTCGGCCACAAGAAGCCCAGCATTTCACAACTTACAGGTTTAGAAAACACCCAGACAAACTTTAGTACAAGCTACCTGACCAGAATTTTCCTTTCTATCAGTCTGTGCCCTATACCTGTCTCTACTGCAGTACTTGTAAAACACGCAGTCCATCAAGAAACAAGAACCATCCTCTTATGTTCATACTAATGGCCTTGGACATCTGCCTCCAGTACTCAGTCATCCTTAAGAACTGTTTCTTTTGAGGGCTGTTTGAGGAGTTGAAAATGATGCTAAAACAGCAACCTTAACTAATTTAACTTTTATACAGAGCAGAATTAATTCTTGCAAACTTTGGTATGCACAGATAAAACCCACTGGTTTAATATTTTTGGCAACACAGCCATAATGTAACAAAAGGATCAATGTAGAACTATAAGATGACAACATGGTTGAGTGCTTCTTCCTTTAACAAGAGTACAGCAGGATTATACATGTAACAAAGTTTACCACTTCATCTATGCTAACATGCTCCATCATAAATCTACAGTGATTCCAATAGGCCCATTCAGCCAAGGAACAACATGTAATCTGGTCTCCTAAAGTGCTGAATCTCAGTCCAACCTACAACCTCAAACCTATAACCATGCTACCTCATGATTCTTGTTTAATTCATTACATGTTGATGACATATCCATCTCGTAGATTATTTTGGAAGACTGATAGAAAACAAAAGCTTTCCTTCATTGTTCAAGCTAGTTCAGAACAGTGACTGGGAAGTGAAGGCAGTCTTACTAGTAACTCTTGAGAAACTCAAACTTCTGAGAGAAATGAGGTTTCATCTCATTTGAGTTCTGCTTATTTTTCTTACTTCCTAACTCACAGGCCCTTGTTTATGAAGTGTCTTTCTGTGGTTTCAGTGTTCAGCTATTTCTCATGACACAGCTAGGAAGAAGGCTGAGCTAAGAAAAGGCTGTTTCAGTCACCTGAGTCAAATCACCTCAGATTACACTGAAGTACAGGGAACATTGTGTGGAATCAATATAACACTGCTTAGAACACTGAGTACTAAGAGGTGACCAGATGGTTTAAATTTCTCATGTTTGTAAAAATTAATAATCTTCTAATACAAAGGTCTTACCCAGCCTGAAACTTGCTGAGAACATTCCATGGATATACATCAGAAATAATAATGCATAAAGTGAATTCATACTGTATTAACAGGACTGAAGGAGAGCCTGAAGTATTTTTAGTTTGTGGATAAGGAGTAGACAAGGATAAAAAAGAACGAAAAGAAAAAATATCAGTCTGACACTTTTAGTTGCTTCCTGACATAAAAAGCTTTCTGTAATTATCGTGGTAAAATTGTTATTAGTGAGTTCTGGATTAAAGCAGTGGAGCTTTGTGGATACTTAAAGGCAATTTGTAATGTAAGCAGTAACACAAGGGAAATCACAGAGGTCCTTGTTTGCTGCAGAAACAGGGCAGCTGCATCATACTAAAGATTTATTTGTTTTCTTTAACCAAATCAGCAGAACATTGTCTAGGAAGAAGTAAAGCAGAAATGAAGAGACATTTTAAAGACAGTAAAGACTGCAGTTTTGGAACTCTTAGGTTACTCTTAACAGGACTAAAAGAAAGATTTGCGCACAGAACTTGGATGAAAGGAATAAAATAACCTAGAAGCTAACAAATGGCATAAAGACTATATATACAGGCATGCAAATTTTCACATTCAGGCAAGAGTCTGATTGATAATAAATATTTTAGAAAATGCAGAATTAGCAAATATTTAAAGTGGTAACTTTTCTCTGATTTTATATCCTACAAATCTTGTATTTTCTGCATGTATAAAGA